TATAATGACCTTCAGGACATTTAAGAGGGAAAACCCCCCAAGTTTGTAGCCAAAACGTTGACCCAGTGTGGGCTAAATCCCTGGGATTTTCAGTTTTTCATAGCCTACAGACTGTGGGCGAGCTGCATTCCCTTTCCAATTACTACATCAGTGAGGAGCATAAACCAGCAAAAACTAATAAGAAAATGTAATGCTTTTAGCTGGGACTCATGGGAACAAAGTGTAATGATTTGCTGTGCCTTTCACAGCATACTCTGTGCTGTGCTGCCAGGGAGAAATGTACAGATCCTTAAATAAAAGTAAATAATAGATAATGTCTCACATAATAGCCCTATAAATAGATGWCTGTCCTGGTTTATGACTTGAAATTTAATTTCTTGCACTCTACTCACTGCAACTAATTGTTGTGTAGAAAGGCTCATGCCCCACACCCAGATAGTCTCAAAGTCACTTATTTCCATGGTTAACTTTTGAATAATTATCTATTCCTGTAATGCATTCTGCAGTAGAATTTTTGACATTTTTCAGTACTGTTCAGTGAGAAACTCGTTTTTGTTCCTATATACATGAAATGTTCGGGGAGCAAATTACATTTCTCACTGTGATTGACTCCTGTGGAGTTATTTGTCTAGGTAGCAGCTTGAGGCTCTAAATATTTGTTGGAAGCAAAATCCATTTAGATTTGCAATTYGTGAATCTAATTTTGTTGCAATCTTAGAAAAAAATACTCATTTGAAATTAATATGCACAGTCTACACAGTCATAAATGTTACTGCTCAATAAGAATACAATGTTGACATAAAAATTATAATTATTTTCTTCTTTTTATAGCTTACATTAATTTTTTTATTTGTTTTCTGGTTATTAAGACCATGGAGATTGTGCTCAAGTATTTTCTTCAGAGAGAATTCTAAAGTATTTAATTGCTTTCTGTTTTTAAGTGGAGATTCTCACTAATTTCTCTGACTGTAGCAGATAGGGCATGAAATAGAATGCCAGATAACTGCAGGATTTCTGACAAAGGTCACAACAGTTAAATGCAAATGGCATTAAGAAAACTCTCTGTGTAAATCTAGGAGACATAATGAAAACTGAGAAGCTTTATTCTACTTTAGCCTGCAGATTACAAGAAGGGCATGAGGGAGGGCTGAGGAACTACAAGCCTGTTAGTCTAAAATCAGTACCTGGAAAAATTRTGGAGAGGATCACACTGGGYGCTATTGAAAATCATGTAAAGGATAAGGCAATCATCAKTTTTTGCTGGCAGCTCATTCACTGTCACACACCCAATCCCTGTATTTTATTTTCAGCATCAAACTCAGTACTGAGCACAGAACCTAGTTGTGCCTTTTTTATGAAATTATGTTGTTTCAGTCCAACAAATTAGTATCTGTTATAAGTGATGAAATGACAGTGGTAAATTTCTAAGATTCAGCTATTGAATTAATAAAAAAGAGTTAGATTTTAAAAAGCTCTATTTGTTTTGTTTTTCTTTCTGTTTGGTTTTTTGTTTTAAATTGAAAAGTATTAAAAAGCTGAGGATATTCTTAGCATATCAGGGACACTGGAGCTGCTCTGCTACAGCCTTGCAACAAGGTTAGTCTTGATGTGCATCCTGGTTTATTTTTGACATGCCCTGGCCTCTGTGTTAAGGTGAAAGGCCCTCCATCAGTGAGGGTGGATGGAGCTGCACTGTTGGACACAGAGAGTCAGGGCACATCTTGTGACTGTGTCCTCCCCACCTTGTGTGCTCAAGGTCACACAAAGTAGACTGAGAGAGCGTTGCARTGGCCTCTGTTGTTCCTGTTTCTTCCTCACCTGGGTAATAGATGTTTTAATTACTCACAGCCAATTCAACCAAATGTACCTTGCTGTTGGAAAAAGACACTTGTTAATTTTTTATTTTGATTTTGGCTTTGAATTTATCCCTTTTTGTTTTTCAAAGCACCAGTTCTGTTCTTTCAAAGTAACTGTAAATTTTCTGTAAAGTCAGCTGGGTTACTAAGTTAAAACCACATGAAAAATGTTGAATTCTTTTATCCCTTATGAACTACCCCTTCAGTGRTTTTCTCATTTTCCCTTGTTGTCTTGAAATTATTAGAAGTCATGAATAGTGGTATTAATTTTAGTGCTATTAAAAAGTTCAAGCCCTGGAAGTCTTACTGTGCCAAAAAGAAAAATAATTGGTTTTTTTCTCCCTGAATTTTGTGGTCTGGTATTCTATAAATTGCAATTCTTGTCCTCCAGAGAAAAGTGTAGTTTGTGTCATGTCAGTGGATCTCAATAACAAAAGGTAAGTGAAGATGAATTGACTCCTGCCAAAAGGCGCAATTAAAAGTTGTGAATATTCTTGTATAGACAAGAAAATTATTTTCTATCATTTAAAGGCCACTTTTGTGGTTTTGTCTGATTGCTAATATTTGATTGATTCTTGACTGACATCACCATGATCTTAATTTAATATCTGAGTATGAATTCTATGCCAGTGTAAAACAGAACTTTTCTGCATCTCAAAACAAGTAATCCCACATTCATGGTCAGTTGTCTTCAGATCMATTTCACAAAGCCATCCATCATAAATATCAGTGTGAGAAAAGCTGAGCATCTTCCTTGTGTTAGGCAGTGGGTCAGGATGAGGGGAAGTGTCAATGCATGCCATAAATCATGACAACACTCACCAGAAGAAGCTGCTGGGCAGTGTCACAGCCACGGGGCTGAGCAGGCAGAGCTGGTCCTGAGTGCCCAGTGGGGAAAGCACCACTCCAGGAAGCAGAGCCCTGAGCTGGGGATATCTGAACACCCTGTCTGGGCTTTTTAGGGAACACTGCACACACAGGAATGTAGGATATCCTTAGCAAAAGCACAGCTCACTTGCCATCTCATCAAAGCAGGGAAAATGTGGTCTCAGTTGCCATCAGAGATGGAGCAAGAACAATAAATCCTTGCTKTAGAGCACCCAGCTGGGAGGGGAGAGATTTCTTGTTCCCAAGACAGCTTTCTCTTAGACCATGATTGTCTAATCTAAAGTACAGAAATAGATCTATGTTACCTGACAGAGGCCTAAGTTTCAAGTATAAAATCTGGATTTTTGCCTTAGGTACCTACATGAGGTAAATGTTTTTGATWGAGAGAAAGTCTTTAGTCAAGCAGATAAAAGCATGGAAACAAGCAATGCTAAGAAAGTGAAGATAATTAAGTGTGGGCTGAGAGCAAGGAGGGAGCAGTAGATTTTTTGCTCTTGAGTCCAAGGGCTTTCAAGAACAGTGTTATGGAGGAAATCAAATTAGGTGAGGGATGATCAGAAAGTCTCCCCTGTCTCTAAAATAGCCTAGCCTAAAGCAAGTTTATAAGTCAGCTGAATTTAGTGGAGCTATTACAGCTGTAAATGTATCTACTCTTTACTGGGACTGACATCCCAGTAATGTACGGAAGATAATTYAGTAGGCTCTTGTAACAAGAAAGATGTTTTCTTCTTCAAAAGTTGCCTTACCCTCACACCCTTTTGCTTTCTTTTTCCCTGAGAAATAAGGCATCCTTTTACAGCAAGCAGTTATCCCATTTCCCCTGGGTCCTTTGCCATACCCAGCTCTGCACAARGTAACTGCAAATTGTTGTCAGCATGACAGGAATAGCTGTGCCTGCATCCAGTTAACTCGGAACTGAGTCACTGAATTGTAAGAAAAAGTGGAACAAAATGCTGTGCGTGCAGAGAATATCCCACTGTGCCCTGTGTGAGTTGTGTGTGGGGTGTTTTGCCCAGGTACAGGAGATGGGAGTGCTATTCCCAAGGGAAGCCTCTGACTYGCCTTTATTCCATGCCTGGGGAGGAACTATGGGAGAAGCTGACAGTTAAATGGGGCAAATGGATTACAGCTATGAAAACACCTGAAAGGTGAAAAACACCTTTTCTTTTAACCCATTTGCTGGGAGTAGGTACCACTCAGAGTCAGAGAATTTTGGCAGGCTATATATCTCAGTGCTACTGATAGTTGCCTGTTGCTAATAGCAAAGAAWGAGAAAAAACTCATGGAAAGAGCTGCGCTGGCATTGATCTATTCAGGCTTTTCATCTTACAGGAGCAAAAGAAGGGGTCTGGAAAACATTGAAAAATATGAATTTAAAGCTCTTCAAACAAGTTCCTTCTGTCATAAATCATGGAAGTGATATCCAGTGTTGTGTCACCAAGAATTGTAAGGAAGCTGCAAGGAGAGTAAAACCCTAGGAAATAATAAAACCCAGTCCACTGAGTTGTGACTAAGAACCTGCCATGAAAAACTATAAAGTTTTGTCGAGGGGATTGGGTCCTGAACCTTGAAAAAGAAAACAAATTTTAAAGCCTTCCTCTGGAAGATATAATTTGTTTAGGATACCTAGGGCTCAATATTAACCTAAATCTCTTCTAAACTTGATAATGTAATATACATGTAAATAAAGTTGCAACCTGCCATGTCCCAGTCATGGTATGGTTGTCTGTTTTTTTTTTGTACAGGAGTGGTCAGAACCAAACATTCGTCTAGCTGATGGGGCAGAGCAAAAGATGCAAAAGCTTCTTTCACTTTAGGGCTCCCAGTCTTGAATACATAGCTTTTTTATTTTGCATGCAAAAGTCAATGCAATAGTTGAAAATGCTCATGGATGTTAAAAATGGAATAGTTCTTATCAAGAGAATCTTTCACCATTTTATTAGCTCAGACAGAAAATTGATTTCCCCTGAGTAATACTAAAACAGATAAAGCTGAAAACCTGACTAGAAGATGAATATCTCTCAAGTATAAAAATTTTCCAATATGATATAGATCTGAGTTAAACAAAATTTGACATGATGGACAGAGCAATCAGGACCAGTGAGGATTAACAYATAGAGAATAATGAAAATAATAGTTTTCACTGTCGCTTCAAATAAGTAATAACCAAAAAAAAATCATCTCCTTTCTCCGTATTTGGAATGGATACACGCAAAATAACGAAAGTAAGCATTTCTATGGCTTGGTTCATTGCAGGCATCGTGTCGCTGATCTCGCTGGCTGTGCTGTCCTACGAGCGCTACAGCACTCTCACCCTGTGCCACAAGCGCAGYGACGATTACCGCAAGGCTCTGCTGGCGGTCGGCGGTGCTTGGATTTATGCTCTGCTCTGGACCGTGCCGCCTCTGCTGGGCTGGGGCAGTTAYGGGGTGGAAGGTGCAGGCACAAGCTGCTCCGTTCGCTGGTCCTCAGAGTCAGCTGAGTCCACGTCCTACATCATCTGTCTCTTCATCTTCTGCCTGGTTGTGCCAGTGCTGCTCATGGTGTGCTGCTACGGGCGCCTCCTCTACGCCGTGAAACAGGTAAGAGGCCACATGCTCACACAGTGCACACTGCTCTGAGGCATGTGTCTCGACTCTTTTTAATCAAATTTGGGAGTACTGATGGTAGAGAGCAAATCAGGAAACCAAAACAAAATTGAAAAGACCGCAGGAAGCCTCAAGGAAGGTGCGTGAGGTCTTCAATCTTCTTAATTCTCCTGAAGCTGCAGTCAAAACAACCTGATAACATCATATAGATACTGATTTTGTGGCTAGTGATATTGTGTGCTGAGAAAACCAGCATATCAGAGTGAAGATCGCATTTGTAATGAGGCAAAACCACATTTACCTGTATAAATAAGATGTCAATGCAAATATTTCTTCCTGGTTTTGGATTGTGGCATTTTAATAATTTCTGCTTCTTAATCTGTGGAAGTTTAACTCTACAGTAATTTTAAACACTCTACTGTGATTTTTCCCTTTTCAATTATTTCCCTTTACATCAGCTTTTTTATTGAGTTGTCCCAAGGATCAGCTTCTCCTTGTAATTCTAAGCCACATTTAAGTTTTCCTTTGAACTACAACCACCATTACTATTACTCCTCCTGCTACTACAAAGATGCTCCTCTCAGTGGATTAAGGTGCRCTGCAGCTATTCCAAACTGAATTTTACAAAAGACCCTGAAAAGGGTGTGATATTGTGAAGTTTGAATACTCTTGGGACAGTGATGGAATGGTTTAATGATGAATAATGAGAGAGGAAATAATGTATAGGGTTTTTCTAAGTAGCAATTCTCTAAATTGTTCAGATGAATTCTCTAAAATGTTCAAAAAGTGTTAAATGGGAAAAGAAATATAGTAAATCTCTGAATTGAGACTCCTACAAAATTAAAGTGAATGTAGTTTGCTTTGATTAGTCATAAGGAATTAAGTTTGATTGTTTTACACCATTTGTCAAAACTGTGAGAACACTTAAAGCCCAAATGGGAAATCTTCTCCTGGTTGAGTACTGAGTGGGCCAGTAAAATCCCTTTGATGAATCACRCATTAGTACTCTACTTAAAAGTTGTGCAATATTAGTATGGAAAAAAATTTCCTATGATTCTAAACCCTCAAAGTGAAGTTGCAGTCCATATCTGATCTCTGGGCAGCAGTTTCTTTTGTCAACACCTTAAAGAAAGAGGCAGGATGTTGGAACATGTGGTACTATAAAGATGCAAAAGAGACACATTTCTTAAAATTTTGTCTCCTCTTTCCTTCAGCCCTCACTGCCCTTCCTGGCAACAGCCATCATCCACTATACATAAACACTTGTATGGGTGAAGCTTCYGTAGCACTTTAGCCTCTAGTGCTAAGTGTAGACTCATGTTATTCTATTCAATTTTTAAAAAAATTCAATTATATCAAAAGTATTTATAATCTCACTGATCTGCCTGATGTGTCTGAAGAAGTTGTAGCAAACATGCTGAGGTAACAAAGTGTCATAAAAACGATATGTGCACTCTACAGCCATTTGATATTTGGTCATGATAACTGGGTAGGCTGGGTGGAAGATTAGGTTGATTGGTTAATCAACTGTCCAGAGGAAAAAAAAAAGAGGGAAGGAATAGCATTTCCCACAATCCTCTCTCATCCATCCTATTTATGCCTTCCAGAAGGATCAGCAAGCCTGTGGGGTGCTGAGGTTAGAAGATCCTGAGAAATTTTGTAAAAGGTGGAAGTGAAAGAGAATTTAACCCAATCTTGCATAACCTGTTGGAGGGACAGGCCTTAGGGAACAAATACTTGCTAAATGCAAAGGAACTCCAGCGAGGATTAGCTCATACCTTAAAAGTTGTTATGACTTGAGGTCATAAGAGATGCCTGAGAATTTGTGAACTCTTGAATAGCTAAACCCTAAATTTTTACACAAAAAATYTAATGCTTTCCCAGTGCTTGTAAAAGATTTCCTTGATAAGTTATATTTCACCAAAAAGAATCTCAGTAAGAAAACTTACCAGCTTTCTGTGATATACCAGAAACTATTTTCAGTACCATAATCCTGAAACCTTGCATTTCATAATTTTTCCATGACATATATAAATTTTCAATGAACTTATCATGACACAGTCACTGAAGTACAGACTTCTTTTCCTTTGGTCTGAGGTCCTTTAACTGTTCTGTTATAAACAGGATAGCTTATGAAATGCTAAATTAGGTCATTTTTCAAACTAGTGGAAGAGATGAGCTATATGCAAATGAAAATAAAGTAGTTCCTATAGTACAAAGAATAGGTAGGATAATTAAGAAAAGATTAAGAAGGATTACTGCATTCAGTGTAATGCTTTAACTTTCTGGTGTGGGCAAAAAAAAAATAATTATCTTGCAATTTTCTGGCCTTGTAAATTAAAATCCTTGTGTGACCCTCCGTGCTGTGTATTAGAAGTAATGTGGGAGCATTGCAAACATAGTAAGTGCATTATCCCACCTTCAGCTTCTTCAGTTACATCTTCTAACTGCATTTTGTAATTTTGCCAGATCTATACAAGTTTTTTTATGTTAGAGCATTGTAGCAATAATGGTATTGCACCCTGAAATCAAGAGCAAGGGAGTTATGGCATTATTAATAGTGCAATGTAAATTTATTGAGGTGGAAGAAATATCTTAAGAGATTTGGGATAGTTAATGCAAGAATTGGCATGGTGCCTTCATTTTTTCTTATCAGGGACAGTGATCATGAGTCTGCCTTCCTCTTTTTCTTCTCTAAATTTAGTCAGGTGTTGTAGCATTCCATCACTTGAAGCATTATTAGATCCCATTAAGTCATCTACAATCTGTGTAATGGTAAAAAGCTCAAGGATTTCAGTAATACAGGTTTTATGAAATCCTTTTATCCATCCTTGTATGGATAAYGTTAATAACAAATGCCATTAAACAGCTTTAAAACACAACTCCACCATTATCTCAGAGGTCTTGCCATTTATCAAGCTTAAGACCCTTAGGAAWTTTTTTTTTTTAAGTTATGGGATTTTTTTTCCAGGCTGGCTTTATCTGGATGGTGGAGTCTGATCAAGGGACAAAGTTTTCCCCCTCACAAAATTTATTTACATGTTTTTTATTCATGTACATTCTACAGCACAAGGGAAGGAAATKGAGGATGGTTTATTTTTCCTTGTACAATGACTTTTTTTTCAGTTCTTTGGCTTATGATACTTCTTGTGACTCTACTGTTGCATTCCCTCTGGAAAAATGTTCTTTGTGAAGTCAGTGTCAGTTGTTTACACTTTGAAAAGTGGGCTCCCAAATGTGGAATTACAGAGATTAGCAGTGTGATCACTGCAGCACAAAAGACACAAGTGATTAAAATCCTCCACTGAGGGGCCCAGAGAACTCATGTGAACCAGCCTAATGAAAATTAGCAAAACTTTTAAAGAGATCTCTTCAGTCTGCATTATCTCCTCCGTACATGCAAAAATACTGCCCAAGGACAAAAAGAGTCCCAAAAGGTTGTTTCAAGAAAAGTTTTCAGTTTGGTTTTATAGAGACTCTCATCTCATTGTCAGCTTTCTTCTGAGAGCTGTGCCTGAACAAAGCTTAGCAAGTCTTTGTGAAACGTAGCTAGGACATGGAAAACAATAAAAAGGACTGGAGGCAGAGCAGAAAGACTTAGACAGGGCAGAAAGACTACACTCAGTGTAAAAAATTGTTAAAGTGGGCAAAGGGCCAAAGGTCGCGCTGTGTCATGGGGGTCTGGAGTAGATGAACTTACAATGTGATCTGATAGTCCTACAGAGTGAAGTTTGTTGTGTTTCCTGTCATTACTCCAGTTTTACTTTGAGTTTGTCTTTGAAAAAAWWRRAAAAAAAAAAGAAAAAATATTCAGGGATAGATTAAGACTGGCTCATGTGAGGCAGAAGTTAGCCTTACCAGTATGTTTGCTTCCACCCTGTGCTGCACATATTGCTGCTTAATTTCTCAAAAGCTTCTAGTTTTAACTAGTGACCAAAATGTGAGTCCTGGTAGTGGAATTAACCAACTACTTCCCTTTACATCAGCTTTTTAAATTTCTTTTGAAAGGTGCCACATGAATTCTGACTTCCAGATGTCATGGGAGAACCAGATCACTTTTTTATATCCCATAGGCTGACCTTTATGAGTCTTGTCATCTTGTTAAGGAATAGGGAAGGTCAAAGTTACAGTAGAGAGCTMCTTGAATCTCTTTCTTACTCCTCTTCAGATTTCAAAGTACCAAATTTTGTAGARGAAAAGTGATTCCATCTCTTATGTAAGAAGTAATGCCCCAGAACAAAATTATCACTCTATTATGAACCCAATGAAACTAATTTTTAATTCTGTATGGTGAGATTTTTACTCTACATTACTTTTTAAAGATTTGGGTATAAAACAACAGTCATGGTTTTGAAATCTCCTGTGCCCACAAAGGAAGTGTAAGAGAAAAAGGAAAGAAGCGAGCTAGTTTTTTATGAATTCTGATTCCTTAAACTTGTTTTATATCTGTACTATTTGGAGCAGTTAAATAATATCTGCAAAAGCATTTGTTGTATCATTGTTCATTAAAGTAGCCAGAAAAGTACAACAAAGTAGAAGGACCATGAATAATTCCAGTTTTCCATCTCTTTTGGAAATAATAATTTGGAGGGATAGAGTACATTAGGGGAGAATGTTTAGTGATTTAAACTGAAAAAATCTTAGACTACAAATAGTAGGATGGRAACATAATTATTGTCCCATCATTCCTCCATTTACATCATATGGCTGTTTATAGGGAAACTTGATTTTCTGAAACTTTGTCTTTGGTGACACTGAAGTTATTATTTCTGTTAAAAAAAAAAAAAACAACTTATAAAGCAATTATACATCATTAAATCTTAACTTCTTATAACCCTAAATACAACCAGATTTGTAGTCATAGAARCAAAGTTCAAAATTTTTCTAGTTGTTTAATTAAACAAATAAGTTCTAAGATAAATAATWGAGGTGAAGTTGATGTAGACCTGGTTGTGCGACTCCTGTAGATCATCCTTTTCAAATGTGATTAACTA